CCAACACTGTCTCTCTCTGTGTGTGTGTGTGTGTGTGTGTGTGTGTGTGTGTGTGTGTGTGTGTGTGTGTGTGTGTGTGTGTGTGTGTGTGTGCATATGCCTGTCTGTCTCTGTGTGTGTGTGTGTGTGTGTGTGTGCATGTGCCTGTCTGTCTCTGTGTGTGTGTGTGTGTGTGTGTGTGCGCATGTGCCTGTCTGTCTCTGTGTGTGTGTGTGTGTGTGTGTGTGTGTGTGTGCATGTGCCTGTCTGTCTCTGTGTGTGTGTGTGTATTATATATTTATATATACACATACACCCATATCACTAACCAGCAGATTATTTCAAGTTACTGACACTTACAAGAGCTCTCTTTATGAACTCCTCCTGGCAGGCTTTGCCATTCTCCTTCTTGCCAGCCCAGGCTTTGAGGGCAGAGGCCTGCAGGGCACGGCCGTAGGAGAAGGTCAGGGCCCAGGGCCTTTGCAGGGGACACTGGTTCATGGCATTCAGGTTGAGTGTGGCCTCCTCCTCACTCTGGCCTCCAGACAGGAAGGTGATGCCTATATCAAGAAGGGGTGTGGCAATATGGGTCAGAAATTAGGAAATTATAATAATTACACACTCAAGAACTTATCCAGCAGGCCTGTCTCTGTCATGAGCGAGTGAGTAATTGCGTTTTTTTTACTAACCAGGCACAGCAGGAGGAACAGTGCGGCGAAGAGCAGTGACAGTTGCCATGGCGATCTCCTGGGGGGTGTTTTTCTGGGAACAGGCATGGCCGGCAGTCACCATGTTGGGTTTGAGCAGAGTGCCCTCCAAATAAACATGGTGGTCTGACAGGGCCTTGTACACAGCAGCCAGAACCTTCTCAGTCACATACTGGGTCCTCTTCAGGTCATGGTCGCCATCAGGCAAAATTTCAGGCTCCACGATGGGCACAATGCCATGCTAATGAAAAAGGAGATATCATGTCAGTAATACAAGAATACAATTATTTTAATATACACTAGCGTTGAAAAGTTTAGGGTCGGTAAGATTATGCTCACCAAGACTGCATTGATTTGATTAAAAATACAGTAAAACAGTAAGATTGTGAAATATTATTACAATTTAAAATAACTTTTCTATTTTAATATATGTTAAAATGTAATTTATTCCTGTGATGGCAAAGCTGAATTTTTAGCATCATTACACCAGTCTCCAGTGTCACATGATCCTTCAGAAATCCTTCTAATTTGATGCTCAAGAAACTATTACTATCATCAATGTTGGAAAACAGTTCTGCTGCTTAATTTTTCTGTGGAAACAGTTATACATTTTTAATCTTTTTGATACATAAAAGAGAAAGTTCAAAATAACAGCATTTATTTGAAATAGAAATAGTAACATTGTGTCTTTACTGTTGCTTTTGATCTATTTAATGTGTCCATGTTGAATGAAAGTTTACAAAAAGCATTGTGGTGGTGGATACATAGCTGTGTGTGTCTCACCATCTGGCAGATGCTAGCGTAACGAGCGAGCACATTGGCGTTCTCAATGATGGCCAGTCTAGAGGGAGTTGTGGGAGTGATCTTCAGCACAGACCTCCATTTAGCAAAGTCTGCCCCATCCTTCTTATACTGAGCACAACGCTCGTACAGCCCATCCAGACCTGCGAACCGAACGCAGAGAGAAATTAGGGTTTAAAAAGATTCCTAAGCAACTAAGTGAACATTCAATTCCGGTCAAAGTCCATAAAATCCCAACATTTAAGTGGATACAAAAGGATAAAAAAATACCATGTGTAATTTTTACTACCAGATAATCATGGGATTTTCACCTTGTGTGGTGGTCTCTCCATTAGTGCCAGCCAGGGGAACCACACCCTTGTCCACTTTGATGCCAACTACCATGCCCCTCTCCTTAAGGTACTGGGAGAAAATTTTGCCATCATCTGTCTTCTGGTAGAGGGTCTCATGGAAGAGGATGACGCCACCGATGCAGGGCTTTACGCGGTCGTCTGCGGTAAACAGCAGCTGGCGGTACAGTCTCCTGTTCTCCTCTGTGTTCTCAGCATTGATGCTCTGGAATCGCTTTGCCACGCTACCTGCACAGGATCAACGATACGAGATGTTATAAGACGAGCAAATAAACGGGTTACTAATGAATGTGAACTCAACAGCCCAAAGTACCTGTAGACTCATCCGCAGCAAGAATGCCTTTGCCAGGGGCCACAATCCTCTGAGCAATATCGCTCAGCTCCTTCTTCTGCTCTGTTGTGAGGAATGGGTACGCGTGAGGCATCTTGACTCTAGGGAGATAGGTGTGGGAAACAGATTCATATAATCATTCAGATTAGCAGTACAAACTCATGAATCACATAACAAAAACAGTGACCTACGATCAAGAAATGAATCAGGTGACTGGTTAAATCAAGTTCACTTGTGTGTACTTGATCGCAAACTTTACCGAAAATGTATCTTTCAACAAACTACATGATGAAATGTCCTTCGGAGACAAGCATGAATGACCTTGTGCGGCTCACGTAACAGTTAACTTTGCATTAAAACGGAAAAGCGACTAGTGAACGGCTAGCTAACGACAGCGGTCAAATATATTTGCTTTTACTTCTATGTCGGCGCTTTAAATTAAGTAAAAACTCACCAATTAAGACGGGTCGAGGAAGCGATGGTTTCCGAATCACACTTTCAACGTAGCTACTAGTCACGTTATTATGCGGATGCAACGATTTGCAATAAAAGGAAGGAAATTACGAGCAATTTTGCAAGGCTTGACCAATCAGGACGCGAGTCATCTTTTGATGGACAGGGCGTAGAGACGATGATTGGCTGATGTGCTTTGAAAGGCGGGTTTAAGAATGACGCACCAAAAGGGGAGTGGTTTTATTACAATTAGAGGCGGGTACGCGTTCTTGTGATACGTGACAGTTCACATGCACATGCAAGGAAAAACAGACATGGAAATGACATTTTAAAATCCTCTTTGGATGCAAGCGAATAAATGACCTTGACATACGTGTGCTGTGCATTTTAGGAGTATGTTTAACAGGCTATGAATTAAAAGACTAATGAGCTTAAAAAAAAAAGAAGTCTGGTATGTATAACATCAAATTGCATCTCTGTCTACTGGACATTGAACAACCCCACAAAAGGCTCTTAACATTCCAGTAACAAACCTCTTAACTCCCTCCGCTCAAGTTGCATTCAACGAAAGGGCAAATTAAATATAGACAATCATTTAATGGCTGAAATCCAGCTCTATAAGAGGATTTGATTTGTGAAAGAGGTTCTGCTCTTTGTGATGTTGAATTCCAAGCACAGTCAATCAAGCTGGTATTAAATATGATTAATTCATGCCAAAATAACACAGATTATCAGTGTTGTATGAATTATTTTGACAGTAGCCTACATTTTATTATGGTAATCAATGTACAACAATAATAATCATTATTATTTAAAACATTTTAATATTAAAAACTATTATTATTATAATTATCATTATTACTTTGATAAAAAAAAAAACATTTGACAGAAGCAAATACACTTACATAAAAGCAAATAAAAAAGGCAACAGTATATAGGGTAATCTTATTTTTGTAGTCATTTATACTTTGTACTACCAAAAAAAAAAGAAAGTAGAATGCACGTTTTTACCGTGGAGCTGGATGAAGTGAGCGAGAGATACTCCCCAAATGGAGGCAGAGGAGGTCTGGATAGTCTGTGACACTCTTCTGGTGCCAGATGACCTGTATTTATTCAGACGGCGTGACCTTTGACATTCTGTGGGTTTGGCTAATCTTAGCAGCAGGCAAACCCACGATGCAACTGGAGAAGGGCGATGTGACATTCATGTACATTGGCATGCAGCAAAGAAAGGTTAAAGAGAAAGGCAGTGAGTGTCATGGACAAGGCACATGATTATTAATGTTGCTGCTACATGCATGAAGTATAATACAATCCCTATTAAATAATGATGAAAAGGGAGACTGGTGGTCTATAGATGACTGCAATAACCCGATTGAATCTTCCGCATGATGTTCTTTAATATTACTCCATGCAGTCCTTACAAACCTCCTGAGCCCACGAGATAACTGTCATCAGAAAAGGGATCTACTGACATGAGATCTTCTGTCATGACCTTTCATCTTTTAAATGTCTTCTCTACATATTCCCTATAATAAGCAAGAGCTACATGTCTGACCAATTCATGAAGGTATAGAAAAAATAGAAAACCTTTATAGAAACATTTAGAAACTAGGAACAAATACATTTTTGCAAATGCATGAAAACAAATGAAGCCACCAGAAAATCTAAGACAATCAAACAATGAATATAAAAGTGAATTCTCTAATATTTTACCACCAATGCTCGATAGATAATAATACTACTGTACACAAAAGCCTTTTGCATGAAAGAAAAACTTTAATTCATTTTAAAACCACACAGTTACAAAAATAGCGCATATTTATATATAAAAAAATTGATACAAAAAAACTCATTTCAACTTAAATTTTGCCTGACAACAGAGAAAAGTGACAGAAGTGACTAAGTCACAGCAGGTTTACTTTGTAAGCCATACAAAAAAAATGGCTGTAAGCATTAAAAAATATGGCCACATACATAACTGTAACATATTTCACACAATACAATATGCACACATATTTCACAGGATGATGTCCTGTAAACAATTACATTAGTAAACATTAGAACTAGCTTTTATTACCTTTGTACAGTATTACAGTATGTATCACAAAAATGATTATTACAATCTAAAATTGGTAAGTCAGCGCTATATGAACATGTATCTTATATACAGTCCACACAAAGACATCTGTGCCAGAATGAGATATATTTAACAGCATGTGTGGTTTATAGATTCCTCTCTTCTCTTTGTATGGCTCGTAACTGAAGAACAAATGTCCATCATACCAAGTACAATGATACCACAGAGAAACACATTCGCTACACAAAGCATAATTCATTATTGCTGACTAGGAAACTAGAAAAGACACTTTTTTAAAAAAATAAATGTAAAAGTTTGTAAATATGACCTTTTGTGAGGAAATGTAAAAATTCATTAAACGTCATGCTTTAAAAATCCATGGCACAGCTTAAAGCCTTAACCTTAGCTTCAGTCTTCTATTGTTCTGTAGTGATTGTGTATTTCAGGAATTACAGCAGTTTGGAAAACTGGCATCACACTATGACTTAAATATGTCCAATAACCATTATACTACAATAGTATGTACTGTGTTTACAGTGTATATTATGTTTTATTAAGCATTTATTAATCTTGCTCACTTCGTCCATACATGGCTCAACTAAACAATGTATATTCCCAATCCCAATAAATGCACATCTAAATCTTTTAGAACCGATGTTTTAAAGGTTAATTTTGGTTAAATCAATGACCGTGAATAGGAAGGATGCTGTAATGTCTCCCAAATGATACAAACATTACAGAACAACCACAGACTGAATCACAGTTTCTCTGGCTATCTTAAAACATACCTAAGTGTCACTTGGAGTTGGAATTTAAGGCATCTTTTAAAGTGAGGTGGGTCTTCCTCTTTTCCTCCACCTTTCCTTCTACTTAAACTTGATCTCAAAGCAGAAGCAGTTGATGGAGTCACACTCTGGTGGTTGACAGGTACAAGCACAATCCCACATCGCACACTGCAATAAGAAGAAATGATGATGAACAAGAAAAACCTGCTGACAGTATCAGGAGGTTTATACCACTTCTGTTCATATTTAAAGGAAGGTGGGGCTCCTGACCGTAAATTTAGGTTAGGCAGATTCTGGGTCTTAGCACTAGTTTATGATAAACATTTTGTAAGCTTTATATCCCAATCGCTGAACACATTAGACACACATTGCGTTATTCAGCCTGAGGGTGGTGCTCTAATGATGATTGACAGACAAACGACAAACGCATAGAATGCCATCTAGAATGACCTTAATTTATTATTTATTGCGTCCGAATGTGGTTTTGTGTATTACCGTATATAGAGCGAGAAGAAATGATGACAGAGCGATTTAGTGCACGCACTGAGACGAGAGAGGTATGTATCAACTCGTCTTAGTTAAGGGAATAACATAGTTTAATATGAAAAAACGGTGGAGTATCCCTTTAAGACAAATGCTAACCAAGTATTTGAAGGTTGAGCATGTGAGATCATTGGCTACTGATATAGAAGGAACTAATCACCAGTGCTCTATAGAGAATGATGTGATTGTAAGCAGATCGGGTTAAAGACCTATTAGCCTGCGCCATCTTGAGTTTCAAGACAGAACTTTACAGTATTTAATGCACTAAAATAAACAGACAATGTATTTTTATTAACTAACATTAAAAAAGGTTAGTAAATGCTTTAGAATTATATTGCACATAGTTACTTGTTGTTAACTAATGCTAACAAATCAGACTTTTATTATAAAGTGTTACCAAGGCATTTAATTGGCCTTCGGAGAGCATATAACCTTAAACAATCAAAAACTTTGGGAGTTTCCCACCAATGAAAAAACTATTTTACGATTGCTGAAATTTGTCTAAGGTTGCAAAATTGTGGCAAAAACAATGCAGTGTGCATCCAGCTTAAAACAAAAAGAAATTGGCGACATATGACTTACATTAGGGGAGGGACAGGAGTAGTCCAGGCAGGATCGCAGAGAGGGTGGACGACAGTCACATGACTGGGCACACACTAAACAGTACTCACAAGGAGAGAAACCTGCACAGCAATCTGAACACCGTGGATCACACTTGGCCTGTGAAGAGAGCGAGAGACAAGTGTGATCCACAGTGCCAAAATGACTCAAAAGAGACAACTGTAAACAGCAGGAAGTGAGATTCAGAGCAAGGCAACTGTGAAAAGTGTATACTTACTGGACTTAGTGTATAGCAACAGCCATTAATATTTACTCAAGTAGATTGTTCAGCAATTTGGCTTACAGTAACGTTTCATGAAGTTTCTTCAGAAAGAGGAACTGATGATGTTGAAGTACCTTGATACAGTGGTGACACCACAGCACAGCCGCAAGGACCATCATATAGAGTCCCACAGAGATCATGATGATGGCAGGCAGCGGGAGAGAGAGAGCCCACACAGGAACAGCCTGACAGAGTCGAAGGAAACAGCACTTGATTTCACTAGACATCACTACAGCTTATGGAAAAATCTCCTTTTTTATGTAATAAGAATAAGTACTTTTTGAGAGATTAGTCATTTATTTCGTTTTTAAAATAAAAAAATAACATCCTTCAAATCCTTCTTGGATTTTTCTTTTTAAAATCCCAATGAAATATAAAAAATGTGAAACATTTACTTTTTTTATAATAATATGGTTAATTTAAATAGGCTAGCGTATATCCCGGGCTCAGACGTTTCACATGAACAATTATATGGACAATGGACATTTGCCCAGTCCAGAACAAGAGATAATGCAGTTGCAAACATTGTGCAAACATTTAAATCCATGACAAAGAACTGTAACATTGTCTAGACAATGCAGAAGGTAGACAGTAAAAAATATCATGAAGCAAATACACAACATGACTGATAATAATGGAAGAACACATTATGACTGATAATCTGGGATTTGGGCTGTGATCTGAAGCATATACAAATTATGACTGATAATATTGGGCAAACAAATTATTTGTATTCATGGATACAGATAATTGTCCTAAGTGTCAGGCGAGTGAGTTAAATAGCTTTGGTGCTATAACAGAAAAAGACCTGCCACCCATTGATGATAGGTAAAATCTAGGAACACAGAAAAGTTCACACCCTTAAGGTTGGAGTGATCAAGAGGGAATATAGGGTGAAAGTATGTCAGAAAGATAGGAGGGAGCAAGACCATTGAGTGACTTAAAGTATGGAATGATACAGGCAGCCAGTGGAGGCTAAATAGGATGGGAGTAATTTGAGCAGATCATGTAGTGTAAGTTAATATTCTTGCAGCAGAATTTTGAATATTGCAAGCGGGAGATAGAGTGTGAAGGTAGTCAATGTGTGATGTAATAAATGTATGTACTAATTAATTATTCAGCATCTTTTGGGCTGAAGTAGGGACTAAGTTGGGCGAATAGGGCAAAGTTGGAGGATCAGTGAAGAATCTAGATGAATCCAGGTGTGCCTGATTGTTGTTACTGAGGCCAGGCACACCTGGATTAATCAGTTTGTCCAATAATGGCAGACAGGAAACAAAGGAGCTGGCTAAAGTTCAGGAAGTACTGCAGCTGTGCATAAAGCCAATTGAACTCAGTTCATTATTGATTTACTTTCCTCAGTTATTGAAACGAATTTAGCCTATTCAACACAGAATGCACTGTCTTCAACTGAATGACTGTTTACGTTTGTCTTTTTAGAGCTGCTTTACATCCGAATTGAATTCTGTTTGCATCATGGAATCATTGATCTCCTGTTTATCACTGTAAAGCTGCTTTGAAACAATCTGTATTGTATAAAGAAGAGCAAAAACAAAGGGGACTTGAATTGATAGTAACAACCGTTGAGGAACTATGTGCAAGTTTGCTTGAGTCTGAAAGCTGGGATTTCTGTCAAAATAACTTTACCGAAATAAAAAACAATCTGAATCAAATTATGACGGAACACCTATTAAATACAGGAGAAGTTAATTAGTGTGCAAATTAGTGTGCATTTAAATATGCACGATCTTTTCTTCGTCTTATTATTATAATTAAAAAAGTATTGCGCAGTATGGTTAAAAAAAAAATTGAAAACACTAAAACTTAATTTGTAAGGGAAAAAAACGTTAGTAGCTTGAACGCTTGGTTATACGCGACTTGAAGACGCAGCTGCTGTAATGTTAGATGCATTTAGCAGCTACACAGTTTGATGTCCAACAAACAGATCTTAATTTAAATGACGTAGCACAAAACACAAAACGATCTTACATACCATTATAACGTCCCTGCATTCCCAGTGGAATTGAACAGGGTTTTCAGTTATCAGGAGATTTCTTTAATTTAATTCAACCAGATGTTTACTCGTATAGCACATTTTTCTACAGCGAAGCTGCTGATCAATGTTGTCCTAGCAACCGCGAAACAACTTCCTATGAGTGTACGGCGACATGGAAGGACCAAACTTAATCTTCTTCTTCTTCTTCTTTGGATTTTTACGGCAGCTGGCATCCATTGAGTTGCATTACTGCCAAACCAAACTTAATCCATATTGAAAACATCATAAAAAGTCCGACAGTGGAATGGAAACGAATACTGCAATGCATGCAGACGTCTGTGCTATACGAATATTAACCCTTTTTTTTAGCGTTTATATAAAGTAATTCAAATTACTTCAATTTAAATGAGTTAAACAAATAAAAAAAAGCTAGAAGCCATTTAAAGTTTTCTTAGTGTATTTGTGTAATTTATATGTGCATATTACTACTGTTTGTGCGGACAGATTTGTAATACCATAAACATATTGTTAGGTTTAGTCCTCCAGTGTTATTTTTTTGGATAGGTATGCCTGGGAAAATTACAGAAAAAAGATCTCTCTTCTCTTGTTTTTTTTATTTATTTATTTTTTTAAATCCCCCTTTAAAAGGGGTTTCCAAGCGTTTATTATGTTATTAACTTTATTAAACCAAATCTTTAATAATTTAAACTGAATAAATATTTAATTTATTAATTCATTCACTCAATAATGTACTCGGTTACTAACGTAACCTATGTTCCCTGAGAGTAGGTAACGAGTATTGAGTAGCTATATGCAGTGGGAAAACTCCTTTTCTCGAGAATATTTAAGCCATAATTTTAAAACGCAGTGCAGCTGCACAGCAAGCACAGAGCAGAGTGTCTAGCTTGCTCATTGGCTGCGCTGCAGCAACTGCATGAACCTATCGCGAGGTGGCTGAGACTCGCGAACTAATCGGGTCGCTTCGCGCCCAGGGCGCATCAGAAACCTGCCAGAATGGGCGTGGCTTATGGCTATTTAAGCAGACCATTTCGCCAAAGAACCAGGTTAAATCGACTGAAGTGACAGCACCTGAGCCAAGCGTAAGAGCACGCAATGCTCGTTCCCTACTTTCAGGGAACCGAGGTTACGTTAGCTAGTGACTTCGTCCTGAACCATTACCTGTTAAGTGGCCCGAGGTCAACAGTAAAGTTTGAAAGTCACAATTCCCTCCAAGGACCGGACAAAAGGTCAGGCCCTTTATTGAGGTATAATGTTTTAGAGGGCTAGATACCCCGCTGATGGCCTGCCAGGCCTCGGCCCATGTAGCTAGGGGTTGAATGAAATCTGGGGGCAGGCCGTCGTGTAACGGGGACTCGACCGCCCGAACTTTGAGAGCTAGAAATATATTCTTTTCGAGTGTGTTTGGGTTTGCTATAAAGGTTGCATTTGTTATCAGTGGCGCGTGCTTTGTAATGGGCCTGGTGTCTGATTTTTGAACATTTCCAGCCGGCCGAACTGTAAGGGGGGCTGTTAGGAAAACATTCAGTTCTCGCTCTGTTTGAGCTGCTGCTAAAACAGCATTTTTCTGCAGTGGTGCGCGCCTTACAGCCATTGACTTCAGTTATAAGGAGGGTTTATAGAAAAGTGCTCTTTTTGTGCTTTATTTGGGTCGCTGTTAAAACAGTGTTTGTTTGTAGGGGTGCGTGTTTTGTAACGGGCCCACTTACTACAGTTAGAACATCTCCAGTTACCTGAACTGAAGAGGGGACTGAGAGAAGTGCACAAGCTTTCTTCGAGGGAGGTCCAGCCGTGGCGGGACTTAAACCCTCTCTTTTCCCCCCTGTCGTTTGACTAGGAGGGCTTCCGAGGCTCAGGGTCCAACACAAGCTTGGGTCGGGGGCCCTGATGTACCAGGAACGGGTAGTGCTTTGCAGGCTTTAGGCGAGCTTCAGCCGCTGGGCGGGGCTGAGAAGTAGGTGGCGCGGGCTTAACTGGCTGAGGGGGCGGCGCTTTCTTAGGGCGCTCTGAATCCGAACTTGAACTCCTGGACAGAAAGTGTCGCATGGCCTGCGGCGATTTCTGCGCCCCAGAGAAGCGCTCAGAGAATCCCTTCACCGCTGGACCGAAGAGGCCTTTGTTGGAGATTGGGGCATCGAGGAAAGCGGTTCTCTCCGCATCCTTGATCTCCGTAAGGTTCAGCCAGAGGTGGTGCTTCAGCACAACCAAACTGGCCATACCTCTGCCGATATCCTGGGTGGTGGTCTTGGTGGCGCGCAGGGCTAAGTCAGGGGCGCTGCGCAAGTCCCCGAAGGCCTCAGGGTCCGGGCCAGTCTCATCCATAGAGCGGAGCAGCTTGGCCTGAAACACTTGGAGGATTACCATGGTGTGCAAAACCGATGTAGCCTGGGCAGTTGGGGTGTAAGCGCGACCGGCGAGGGCTGATGTTGTTCTGGGACCGCCTTGGTTCTCCATCCGCTAAAGGTGGGCGGGCGGGCAGAGATACGCAGCCACATATTCCTCTAGGGGGGGCAACATGTTGTAGACCTTCTCCTCAGCACTGTCAATAGTGGAGAGCGTTGCGGAAGTTGATTTTTTTAAGCGAGCCGAGTAAGGGGCGCGCCATAATTTAGTCAGCTCGTCATGTACCTCGGGGAAGCAGGGTGCTGGTCTTTGACGAGGGGTCTGCTGACGCCCCGGCAGATACCACCCGTCGAGGCGGCTTATGGTGGGCTCCTGAGGCGGGGACCACTCGATGTCGAGGCCTTTGACAGCTTTAGTGAGGACGCGAATAAGTTTTGGCTTGGGACTGAAGGGCGGGACCAACTGTCGAGCCCGGCCAGTCTTCTCCCTCAGATGCAGCCAGAGATAGGCTGTCGTCTCCATCTTCCTCAGATGTGCCAAACGAAACGAGTCCTGCCGCTTGAGGGGAGGGGCATAGATCCGTTTTCGAGAAAAGCACCGATGAGGGGGTCTCGCGAGGAGAGAGCGAAGCACGCGGGGACTGGGCCGGCGTGGGCTCGATCGGTTCAGGCATCCTTTGGCCTCGTCGCTTCTTCCGTCGCGGCTCGAGGAAGGAAGGAAGCTTGCGGGGCGGGGTCGCTGTCCAAAAGGAGAGCTAGCCGCGAGCGCAGGATGGAGATGGGCAGGCTCTTGCAGTGCGGGCAGCCGCCATTGTAGAGTGCAGTCTCTGCGTGAGCGAGTCCCAGGCATGGGGCGCACTCGCTGTGTCCATCAGTTTCATGCAGAAAAGCTCTGCAATAAGTACATCCGGAACGCGCCATTTGCAACAACACCATAGAAATTTGCTCTTTTTCTCTTTCAGCTGTCTTTCAGTGTCATGACGGCGAACACACAGAAGTAGCAAAAAGGATATAAGGCTAACATTTTATATCCTGCATTAACTTTTCATATGGTATTTTCATACAAGGTTATATATTAATTTAGATTTTTTATTACCTGCAATATGCTCCTTAACGGCGATTCAGGGGAAGGCGGCACCGAGTTGAAGGTGCCACGTCCGCTGAACAGGTCGCTCGTTCCGCTGCAGGGGCTCGTCGATGGCGAAGGCTCGGAGATCAGCGAAGAAGATGTTCGCTAAAGGAGATTAAATCTGATTCTATGGCGAAATGGTCTGCTTATATAGGCATAAGCCACGCCCATTCTGGCGGGTTCGACGCGATTGGTTCACCCGTCTCTGCACTGCGTTTTAAAATAATGGCTACAATATTCTAGAGAAAAGGACTTTTCCCACTGCGTATAGCTACACAATACGAAGTAAACATTCTCCAAAAGGGAACTACATTTTTTCCTGCTTAGACTAGCCGAATGTCGCAGGTGAGAAAAGAGAAAGAGAGAGTCCTCAAGATAGATTTAGACTTTTAGCTCACTGTCCAGGAAATGAAGGCTCAAGAGAATCTTCTGAAAGAAATTGAGAATTACATTTTAACAGTAACCTACAGACAGAAAATGAAGAGAGCTAAACTGACAGAATAGTGCTGCTGACATCTGTCCCAACACCCTGAATTCAGACCAAACCATCGAGTGTAAATATTTAAGCTGAGATGAAACAGCGAGAGGATGCTGTGGTCAGGTACTGTAAAATAGAAATTAATTTCAATGATGGTGATGTTATTTAAAAACATACATGGAGTAGTCGGCTACAGTTCTCATTCTGGTCCTCAACAGGCTAAATGGAGCTAAAAGTGATGAAACCAGTCCTATTCTCTCTGATATGCCCATAAGTTTTGAAAATGGGAATTTCTCTAATCTATAAATGCCAGTTCCATGGCCATCCTTAAGGGGGTGCAACCTCGCAGCAACAAACCTTCTTCTTCATAACCTCTGCAATTCGTTCTGGCATGCCGGATATCAGCTTCTTGGACAAATCCTGAGTGATGGGGATCCATTCTTGCCTTTTTAGTGATTGGAGTTGGATTCTGCTTGTCCACTTGCCTTTTGAGGATTGACCACAGGTTCTTTATGGGATTAAGATCTGGGGAACTGCCTAGCCACAGATCCAAAATCTCAGAGCCACTTCATTATCACTCTTGCCCTGTGACATGGTGCTTCATCATGCTGAAAAATGAATGGATCATCACCAAATTGCTCCAGGATTGTTGTGAGAATTTGCTCCTGCAGGACATTTTGATACCATTCTTTAGTGTTTTTGGGCAGAATTGTGAGAGAGCCCATTCACTTGAATCAAAAGCAGCGCCACACATGGATGGTCTCGGGATGCTTCACTGTTGGCACGACACAGGAGTCATGGTAGCATTCACTTTCTCTTCTCCGGACAAACGGTTTTCCAGATCTCCCAAACAGTCTTCTGCACCAGTCTTCTGCTGTCCAATCCTTGTACTTCCTGCAGCTCTTCAGTCTGTCCTTGATGTATTTCTTGTAGAGAAGTGGCTTCTTTGCTACCCTTCTTGACTCCAGCCCGTTGTCCAGAACTCTTGGCCTCACTGTGCGTGCAGATGCTCTCACTCACACACACACACACACACACACCTGCTGCCGATACTGAGCAGCTCTGCACTGGTGTGGTGACACGATTCTGTAGCCGACTCCTCAGGAGGAGACTGTCCTGGTGCTTGCTGGATACTGTGGGACGTCCTATAGCCTTCTTCACT